ATTCACCAGAGACTACCCAGAGATTGTGCAGTGTCTGAAGCTGAATGCCTGAATGCCATAGCTGAATGCTATGGTCCTTGCCTGCTTCATCCTCTTCTAAGCCACTGAGAGAAGGGCCTGACATGGGGCCTCATGCCCTAACAGCACAAGTTCCTAGGAAAGAGCTTGAACCTGTTGGCGGCAATGGTGGCATGTTCTCTTCTTTGCAACCCACCTCAAGGAGGCTGGGGCTCCACATCCTCATGACTGCCTTTCCAGCTCTGAGCAAGTTTATAGATGTAGTTGTAGCCTCATAGGTATCTAGGGGGAAAAATTGGATTTCAGTTTTATGGGTGTAAACAGAGATGAGTGCTGTGGACTCAGTAGCATGATTCCAGGTTTACACAAAGAGGAAGAACAGACCTGACTGCTGTGTCCACCTGGCCACTGGGATCTCAGACATCTGAGTGTTCTGAACAGCAGGTGCAAACAATGGAAGACCTGCCGCTTGTGATGTTGGTGAAAAAGCCACCATGTCTGCTTCCTAACCCTCTCCTGTCAGTGATGAGAACTGCAGGCTCCATATGAGACTTCCAGGGGCAGTACTAGGGTCACTCTTTTTTGGCTCCCGTGCCAGGGACTCTGCTTTAGATGCTGTAGGCTCCACACTTCCTTCCTGCTCACATTGTGGAGCCAGTAATGCTGGCACAGATAATGGTGCCTGGTACTTTTCATTATAAGATCCTCATTTCTCTTGCTTCAAGCACTGCCAGACTGAAAGACAATGGACCACAATTCCATGCAGATACTAAGGGGTCTTTTGGAGGCAGTGCTTGAAGGTACTGGCAATCAGCAGTGACCTTAATCCTTTGGGCTGGCTTTTTCCATGGCAAACAGTGCCATGGAAAAGGCAGTGCCTTTTTCCTTTTCAGTGTCTGGTTGGCAAGTCTCAGCTCACATAGCCCTGTGCTTCCAGGGCTGTATCTCTGCAAGCCCTGGATGTGCTCCCTACATCAGCAGGGCTCTAAGCCAGGCCCCTGGCACCATTGACAAGAGTTCCTTGTGCTGAGCATCCTGCTCTAAAGCCAATCATGGAGTTGTGGAGGAGGATGGCCTGTGACCTGTGGTCTGCAGCTCAGACACACCTTTCTGTACACTGATCAGTATCCCTTGCTAGGACCTGCTGGTAGGCCTAATCTCCTCCACAGGCTGTCCTGATGTCCTTGGGATCAGTGGGACTGTTCAGCTGGATTCAGTGGGAACAAGACGGGACCTCTGAATGTATGCTGGGCTCCACACAGAGTATCCAAAGCTGATTCAAGGGGAAGGTCCCAGCTTTCTTCTCACCTGTTTAAAGCCTCAGCAGAGGTAAACATTTACAGCAAGTAAAAGCTGGAGCCACCCACAGCTCCTTCACAGAGGGGGAGCATAGAAGCCCCTTGTACAGACTCCTTGGCCTTCCTCTAGCTCTGCCATGGATCCTTCATTGCCCCACAAACCCCTGCTGCCAAGGAATCAGTAGCCTGCAGGTCTACTCTTCTGTCACCGCCACCTACCTTCCTGGTCAGCATATGGCTCTAAGAGCGCCAGGGCCAGTGGGAAAAGAAGAATATGAGTCGCTATTGACATTCTCTCCTCTTTATGGGTTCATTCTGATCTTATTTAATCTGGAGAGGAGAAGATTGAGGAAAGATTTAATAGCAGACTTGAACAACCCGAAGGGTCATTCCAAGGAGGATGGAGCTATAAACTGTTTTCAGCAGGGGCAGATGACAGACTAAAGAGCAATTGTCTCAAGTTGCATCAAGGGAAGTTTAGGTTATCTATTAGTAACAACTTTCTCACTAGTAGGATAGTAAAGCACTGGAATAGGCTACCCAAAGAGGTTGTGGAATCTCCATCCTTGGGGATTTTTAAGACCTGGCTAGACAAAGGCTTGGCTGGGATAAGCTAGTTGGGGATGGTCCTGCTTTGAGCACAGGGTTGGAGTAGATGATCTCCTGAGGTCCTTTCTAACCTTAATTCTAAATGATTCTATGTTTCCAAAGCCCATTAGAGCTCACAGCACTTCTGACTCCAGCAGTGGGCCTGAGGTCCGAGTGTGGTTGAGCCATGTGTGTATGAGCCTTGCTCCCATCTCTGCTGCTCACACTACCCGTGGCATTTGTTATCCATTCATCCATAACAATTTAACAACAAGCTGGTCCCTGGTGTCCCTCCCATAACACTGGACACAGGAAAGAAGTCACCTGGCATTGACCTGCATGGAAACAGCCACCTCCGTCCAGGTGCTCGATGACATAGCCAGAGTTGGAGTTGTACAAGCCTGTGACACCATGGCCCATCTGAGCACAGACCTGTGGCAAGCAGCTAGTGGCATCTCCAGCCCAATATGGCTTATTTGGAAAGCTAGAGTGTCTGACAAGGCCAGCCTCTTGATAATGTCCTGTGGAATGCTATACAATCCAAGGCTGCCAGTACAGGACCCTGTGAGGATCTGGCTGGTGACTGTTTGTTACAGGAATCTGAATGCTGCTGCAGCCCTTCCCTGGCAGAGTATGGGCCACTTGCCCTGTTGCTGGGCACTGACAGGTCTGCTCATACTCAGGGTGGTTTAATGCTGCTGTAACCCCACTGACTTCAATGGAGTCACTTCAGAGTTATACCAAGAGTAACTGAGCAGTGGATGGAGTCTCCAGACACAGCCCAAGGTGTAGGTACTGTGACTCAAGTGTGGGACAGGGTTTCCTCAGAGCCCACCACAGCCAACAGGACATGCCCCTTTGTGTAAAGGTGTGGAGCAGAGAACACGACCCCTACAGGGGCTAGCCCCATACAGTACCCTACAGGCTGGATGTCCATTGCTGTTCCATTCCCTGCCCAGAACATCTATTTCAGCAATGTTAGGGTAACTTGTTACGTTTAACTAGCGAATTGCCCATCAAGAATGATGGATAAATTTCAAATAACAAAAACAAAGACATAGATTTTACTGTTTATATTTATTAAATAAATTAAATATGTGCAAAACTTAAATAAAATAGGGTGAACATTTGGAGATACCAATCCCTTCCTCATTCTGTGACCCAATATCCCACTAGGGTTGGTTACCTGATCTTCCTTTGGGTTGCTAACAGTTGGTTAATCATCCAGATGGTGTGGCAGGAATCAATTATCACCAAATATTTCTTTCATGATCTCCCAGGGCAGCAGGAAGGGCTGTGGTTCCTGGCCCAGCTCTGTCACTCACTGCTGCTTAGGAATCCTGAGATGGATCCGAGCTCCATTCTGAGCTGGGCCTGGGCTGTGCTCAGCTGCCACCGCAGCCCCTAGCCGCCCATCCTCATCCCCACCTGGTCTCCACGTGCCTGGACCGATTTACCTCTCACCCTGTACAATGAATCCTGCAGGCCATGTCCATGGGCTCTGGCAAAAGAAGCATTTCAGCAAAGCCAGGACCCACCCCTCCTGCCTTTCTTGATGGCATTGTGCATCTAATTGTCTTCTCACAGTAGCCTCCCAGTAGCGACCACTTTTCCTCAGCTGGCCCCTTCCTCTTCCCTTCCCGCTGTGATGGGCACCCAGCACTCTCCTGGGAGGAGTTCAGTAGAAACAGCCCCGGCCCCTTTTTTTCCCATTTCTGGAAGTTGGGATCATCCTGACATGGTCACTAAAAAAATTTCTCTGAAGACACAAATGTTCTATCTCTTACAGTTTTCAAGTTTTTGCATTTAAAGAGCATTATGGACAGACAGGCAGATGGACTAAGCCCTTTATATATATATATATATATATAGAGAGAGAGAGAGAGAGAGAGAGAGAGAGAGAGAGATGCTTTAAGGTTGCACCTGCTTATAGTATTTTTAAAAATATTTTAGCCTTATTTAACCATTGCTTAAGTTTTGTTGTTACTAACATTTTTTTTTAATATTATTATTATTATTAGCTGGCCTTGAGTTGTTTTGTAAAGCTCCTAGGTACTCATTATATTATATCTTTCCTTTTTTATCACTGTGAAAAGTTCTTTTAACATAACATAGCAATGGCCTTGTTATTAGCTCCAATGAACTGAACTTGGCACTACACAGCTGAATCTGAGGGATGGAAGATTTTGATACATTAATGAAAGGTGATAAGGGAGACAAACAAACAACCCACAAAGTAAGACCAAAGTAAGAAAAAGACCAAAATAAGAGGTGTGCTTGTAACGGGTCTGTTAGACAAATGAATGTGCTGACAGGATAGAGGATGGACAGTATGCTGACTGCAGAGAGACCAGTCCAAAAGCCAAGAGTCATCAAAGGAGTGAAGTTGAAGAAAAGCATAAAAAGGGGGAGTAAGAAAGTTCGTCGTCATAAATCCAGTCTTCAACACCTGTCTGGACTGTCCCAGCCCACAACATACCCTTTGCTTCCAGGAACTGAGTGGCCATCTTTTCTGCTGAGTGAAGTAACATCTGGGATTGGGTGAGATGATTGTACTGAATGTTTTTCTCTCTCTGAATATAGAAACTGCTAAGATAAAACTTGTTGTACTAATAAAGTTAAACTGATTTTAGGGCACTGCATTGTCCAAAACTTTGATTTTAAGACACCGAGTTGTCTGCATTTTGATTTTAGGACACCAAATTGTCCAACCTATTGAATTTTAAGACACTGAGTTGTCTGTATTTAAGTGAAACTTTGATTTTACGATACAGAATTGTCTTCATTTGTATTTCACGTTCATTTAAGGGTTAATTGTGCTTTAATGATCCCTAAGCACTAGCTGTTGGATAGTGGTGCTTAGGGATTGTTTTGGACAGCAGTGTCCAAATATTTTTGGTCAACCCTGCTTTGAACCAGGGCTCCTCTTTGACAGACACAACACCATCTTTCCTCACCAACATCCATGTTATGCTTGTTTGCTGTTTGTTTGCCAGGAGCCCCCACGGACCCACCCAAAATTAGAGCCCTGCTGTTCATGGTGTTAGACACACCCAGTCAGGAGCTCCAGGTACAATGCACAGCTCTGTATCTGACACATCACTTTATTTCTTACATACACAAATCATATCACTTTGCTTTCTATATAGCTATAGTTCCATGTGGGTACAAGAAAGCGGCTAACAATATGTCCATGTCTTCCAGGACTCAAATGCATATATATATATGACAGATTGTCTGCCACACATGATTATAGGTTGAGTATGTTTCATGGTACAGGCATAAGAATCAAGCTAGAAGGACCCCTGCATGCCCAGAGGACAGATACAGTGCAGCACATGAGTTATAGCAGGAGGTGCGTCTCCAAGATGCTCTCCTGGTGGTGCATCTAGCTGGGAATAGAAAGGGACTTTATCTTGAGCCATTTTAGGCATTTTTTCACCCACGGAGCATTGGCTTTAACACAGATTTCTTGGCCCCTTTTAGTCTGGATTCTGAATGAAGAAGAATGAGAAAAGTAAACAAGAGCTGTGTGTGGAACAACGGTCATTTAAGCATGTGTTGCAACATGCTGGTGATAACAAGGGTGCAGATAGAAGTGACAATATTTTTTTCCTGATCCAGCCACAGAAAGCTGTCTATAGCTATGACCAAACACAAGTGTACGGCTGCAGACAGCTTAAAAAATGGGTGATCAGGTGAAGATCTGACCTCTCATTCCATGAGGTATCAGATAAAGACTTCAAAATGAAGCATCTTTTGTCACTTGTGTCTGCAGAGCTGCCAGCCTGTCACTGTTTTAAGAGTGCAGGGGGAGGAAGGGAGTGGACAGAGTCCAGTCTGGAGGTTTTTCAGCCCTCCCAGGAGGGTGGGGCGGGTACTTTGGAGCATCCCTGAGGTGGGGGTGCTCCAATTGATCCACCCCACTTTGGTGGGGGCTGCAATACCTCACCCCACCCTTCAGCACCAACTGGGAAGCCCCAAATATGAGCTCTCTCCACTCCCTTTCCCCCCTCCCATTCTGAAAACAGCGAGCACTGGCAGAGAGCTGTGGCCTTTGCTATGGGAACCTTGCTGCAGGCTCCCAGCCCACAGCTAGATTTTCCCCTCCCCCCACAACCAAGATTGAACTTCTGTTTGGTCTGGGGTAATGTTGTAACTCGGGGCGCAGACAGAACTGCAGCTCCCATCTGTAACTCGGAAGGATTTCTGCAAAGCGTCCTATGTGGTGACGAATGGGAATAGGGGGAAGGGTGGTTCACAATGACCTCGGGCGTAAATCACCAGGGGCTGGTTTGACTCACAGCCCAGGCTGGCCCTGCAGGACAAAACAGATCGTGGGTTGCCCTGGAAGGCTGGCACTGCTGTGGGTGCTGAGTCTTTGGCAACCTGACCCTAATTAGTGTTTAGGTAAATCTGGCCGCACTTCACCCTGTCTCTCCATATCAGTAAAGAGCCTATTCTTCCCTCCCAGACCAGGGGTTTCTCCTGTATAACTGACACTGCTGTGGCTCCTCCTGGTTTATACTGTGGCAACTAGAGCCAAGGCTCAGATCCTGAACTATCTGGAGACAGAATCTCTCCCACAACAGCTCTCATCTTCAGTTCTATTGAAACTTCTTGCAATAGCTTGCAATAGCCTGGCCCTGGTGCTCAGGGTTGTGCAGGGTCTTTTTGGCTCTAACACCCACAGACAGACTATTCACAGAGCCATCCTGGGACCAGGATTCTCAGCACCCTGGAACTTTCTTTGGGAAGCACCTCAGGGCTGGCTGCCGGTTAGGGACCCATTGGAGCAGTTGTTGTCATGACACCAGGTGATCCTCACTGCCTGGTGAGCAGGGAGAATCTGAGTTCTGGGGCAAGTGGTCTGGGGCCCCCCCAAGACCCTGCTCCAGGTAATGCCAACCTGCACTAACATCCTTCCCATGCTAGGAGGTCCAACTCTCACTCTATCTCCCTCCCCAACCTTCTCCCCGCTCCACAGCAGCTGTGCCCTGTGTTGGAGGATACTTACATCACGGCTCGGTGAGGGCACTCAGGACTCGTGGGGTAATAGGTGACTATATTGGCTTTCTTGATCTTTGTTGTCTGGAAGTTGAAGCAGCACTTGTCTGGCACAGCAGGCCCTCCTAGTGGGACAGGAAACAGCTCATATCAGAGTGCCCTTGGCATGAGGAGACTCCCCAGGACTCCTCTGTGACCTCCCGTTAGCTCAGGAGCAGTGGATTCATGGAGGGGCTGGAATACAGCACAGTCACCTCCCTGAATGTCTTGTTGCAGCTCCCCTCAGTTTGGAGGGCTGTATTGACAGTGGTTGCAGACACTGGGACATCCCTCCCTACAGTGTGCATAAGAGAGAGGAGCTAGACCTACAACTCTCAAGAGGAAATATGGGTCTAGGGCCAAACTACTGATTTAACACTCAGGAGCTCAGGTTTAAGTATGGGTGGGGGCAGCTTTTAGGATAAGCCCAGGCAGAGACTGAACTCATGCCTCCAGGAGCAGTAGCCACTGATTCACTCTGCTACCCAGCCCCGGCATCAGAGCAGCTTTGTTTAAATCAATGGGTCCATGTATGCTTACATCAGGGAGAGGCCTGGTCCCACTGACTTCAGGGAAGGAGTCTTGAGTGTCATCAACATGGGTGGGGTGAGGTGGGCTCTAAGGCATCCAGGCTCAGCGGTCACAAGTTCAAGGGCATAGCAGAAGCACTCAGGGCATGGCCTGTCAAATTTCAAAGAAATCTGTGATTTCTCTGAAATACCTTGTATGAGGACATGGGAAAGAAAAGGAAAGCATATGTGGCTGGACTGTTACCCCCGCTGCCTTCACTGACCAAAGGAAGCTATTGCTAGTGGACACTGCCCAGCTGCTGCACTCCCCTGGGAAAGTGACCTCAACCTTGACTCTGAGCTGCCCAGCACTGGGCAGCATTTTCTGTGTGTGGAAATAAGTTATTTCTAATGTATTATTTTATTGCCATGTTCAATTCCCTCCTGTGCCTAAAGGGATTCAAGTCCACATCACCATTAGATTGCCCTGAGCACTGGGGGCTGTTGCTAGTGTGTGTTAGGGTTGGGGAGAGTGTTCTTAATCTCTCCTGTGGACACTGTTTCACTTTGCATAAGGTACTTCACTGTTTGGTGGTGCAGGGCCTGGAATCCTGGTGTCCCACTGTCCCACAGAACGCAGAGATTACTGGTCTATGGTGCCATTTCCACTCTCTAGGAGTCTGAAGTAGTTCATACTAAGTGGAAGGTCCCCAACAGGAGAAATATAAGAATGTCTACCCCAGACCCTCCTGGAACCATTCACTTAGGACTCTGGTCTGAGGAATGAGACAGCTTGGAAACCCTGCTGGGAGTCTGGAACTGAGGGGATTTGATGGAGGTTTCTCCTGTTCCTGGAAGTCTCATGAACACTAGGCTGTGGACTAATCTGGGATGGGACTGCTTCAGTCACGAGGAGAGTCTGAGCCCGGATTGCTCCATGGTGGTTAGGGCATTTTCCCTGACAGTAGGCTATGGACCCTGGAATCTCCTCAGGTAGTCATCAAACACCTCAGCAGGGGGCACATACCCTAAGCAGTTGGTTACTGGGTACCAGGGGAGAAAAAAGTAATGATTTCAATTTCATTCAAGTTCATTATTATTACTGTTATTACTATTGTTATTGTTGTGGTTATTTTATAATTTCAGTGCAACCACTGAGCCAAATATGCACTGATTCTCACTACCCTAAATCTGCCCCAGCCATTGACCACCCAGCAACCAGCCCAGTTCTCAGGGCAGAAACCCTGGTCCTGGTGAGGCTGTCAGAGGCAGCTGCATTTGCATAACCTAGGCACAGTCTGGAAAGAGACCCGCAGCTCTGCAATGTCGTTGAGACCCAGTCCCTCAGCTGGCTGGAGTCTCACTGTTCAGAGCAATGTTGGCAGAGACAGCAGGCAGGAAATGAGACCATCTGCTGAGCTGAACCATTTAAATACCCAGAGTGCAAATTCAACCCTAGGTCTTGGACCCAATATACTGTTATTCATCCATTATATTGTACCAGTGAGCCTGGGACTTCTGCACCCTCCCCCAACATCCTGGTGGGAAACATCCCATCTGCCCACACCCAAATCCCTCTGACCTGATGCAGGAAGGGTGCAGGTGGGTGGGAGGGTAGGGAAGAGAAGGAATGCTGTACTTACTCTGCGCCAAACGCTGAAGACAGAAGGTGGCCATCAGAAGAAGTATGAAGACAAGCCCAGTTGCCTTTGCCATGGTAAGAACTCTTCTAGCTGGAGCTGTTTTCCTCTTTTTTTTATTGGATGTCACCAGTGCTGGTTTCCTGTGGGTGGATAGAAGGGACCTGGCTCCAGGATGCATGCATGGAGGGGAAGTAACTGGCTAAGATCCATTTCCCAATCTGCAGGGAGTGGGGAAATTTGCTTTCTTCCTCAAAAATCCTCACTGGGAATGACATATCCTCCTGGCCCCTAGCTGCACAGACTCCCACGCTGGAGATTCTCTAAAGTGTTCCCACTACTGTTCTTTCTTCATTTTCCTTAATTTAACAATAAACATTACTTCTGCCATGAGTTTGATTGCTTCTAGGTTTTCCCCTGGAAAACCACTCTATGCTTCCACCTGGTTTCTGCATCTTGTGGGATGCCCATACCCATTTGTACTTTTGGGTTGGAGATACATAAAGTCTCTCTGGCCTGGCAGGTAGAGAAAGTTCACAGAATGGCTCTGCATCTTCACTTTGAAAACAGCATAAAAAGGTTTTTACTGGAAATTGCATGTGGGAATAAAACGCATTCTTGAGCATCTGCCATGGACTTGTCTCCTATCTCACGGAACACCAGGGAACAAATGTCTTCTGTATCCATATATGGAGATATCTTTCCAACTAGTTTAGTTACCAAAACAGCTTGGTGATCTAACTGACGGTCTTCGCAAACCCATATTAGCACTGCCAATGCAGACATGTTGAATCATTTCCTTGACTTTGTGTTTCAGTTTCTTTTGCTGATAGTTTCCCAGTAGATACTTGCATGCCAAGGTGATTGTTTATCTCTTTCCATGTAGTTCATTTCCATAATCAACTTGACAAGGCCCAACTTAATGTGACACCTCCAATCCTAGGAAATATTTAAAGATCAAGTCATCATATAAGGGTTAATGTCAGAAACATGCAAAGCTTCTGCCTGACTATATAACAAATCTCATTTTGGAGCTTCCTCAACCTGTGTGTTAGGAGAAAACACAAAAAGTAGCGTGCAAGAGGTGATAACTTTTACAGGCAGGGAATAAAAAACTGTATAACTTTTTTGCTGCTCCTGTGAAATAGCACTGTACTAAAGTGCACAAGTTGTACAGACACTAGGGAGCTAGGTCACTAGGTCAACCTGATGTGATGCCTCTCCTGGGAAAGTAGCCATAGTCTGGACACAACTCTAACACCCTAGGATCACCATGCATGCTCCTGGCACTTGTACTGGAGTAGATGTGGGGGGGGGGGTTGTGCACACACACAGTGCATGATATCCTGTGGAACTGCACCTCTTGTTGGCTGGATCAAGCAGTTGGTATATATGGGTATAGCGCCATTTGAGGCAATAGATCTCTTTGCACCAGCTGTACCATTTCACACATGGCAAAGGGGATCTGATATCAGGAAGTGATCTCTTGTGTGATCACACCCTTTTTGAGTGACTGAATGGTATAATCCTGCACCTTGCCAGCTGTTGTCCTCAGAGACAGGGTTTCACTATTCTGGAACTAGTAAACATGATGAAATCATACCTCATGACCTTGCCATTCCAGGCCTCTAACTTCAGTTTTTCTTCAGGGGTCAGAGTTCAGGGCTGGGGAAACTCAGTCTTGTCTGGTTTCTATGAACCAGTTTCAATTGCTTTTGCCTGCCAATGCAGAGGCCTTCCTGGAGTGCATTCAAGTGACCAGTTGTAAACTGGACATATACTTATTGTGGCTTGTAAAAACCAACTGGTGGAGACTGAGGCTCCTGCTGGCAGAGACAGTTAACATATCCTCTTAAGAGGGTCGAATGCTGGATATTCTTAAGTCTGCAATTGTCTGCCCACTCTCAAAAAATATCTTTTAATGCTGGTTCCCTGGCCAGCTACCACTTGTTTCCAACCTCCCATTTTTGGAAAAGGTCACGGAGCAGATGTTTGCCCTGAAGTTCCTTGTGGCCAGGTTCTCTCAAAATGAGGGAGACCCCCAAATTGTGAATGACCCTTGTTTAGCAGCCGCATGGCTCAAGATGAGCGCCTGTTTCCATGCAAGGCCTTGGACCATGAGATGGACTGCACCCCACCTCAGCCAAAGGCACGGTCAGTTTAACAGGTTTCCTTCCATAGAGTTCCCAGGGGAACAGTAAGAAAGCCCAGACATATAGAGAGCCAAGCCATTCCTTTAGCTTGAGAGAAATAGCTCATCATTGCGGCCAGACTCATAAACTGGCTTAATCTGAGTGTTTTTAATAGGAACCACAAGAATGCTTACCTGAAATAAGGGCAATATCCCTGCCAAATTGTAAAAATCTATTTCTGAATCATGTTGGAGAATGTGACTTGGGAAATTTCATCCCCAAAAGAGGAGAGCTTGGAAAGTGTTAAGAAATCTTAACTATGGGCACTGCTACTTGCACCCATCCAGTTAGAGTGGGAGTAAGAGAAGTGTGAGGGAGGCTGAGATAGAGAATGTGTGTTGTGGAAACTATGAGGCCCCTTTAGAAGACCAGTCCAGTGTTATGGGAAAATCCATACAGAGACATCAGCAAACGCATTAGAAAAGGTGAAAGATCAGATAAGACCCTGGGGGAGGCAATGATGAAATGGGCTTTAATGGAGTCTAAATCACATGTGCTCTGGCTTGTCCTTGTCCTCCTGATTTCATAAATATCCCTCTCTTGGCTCCCCAGGGGGTTGGCTTCAAGAGGAGAGCTGGAGAGAGAGAGAAAGAAAGAAAATTAAATGCAGGGAAGATGACAAACTCTAGTAAGCAACAGTAGTGAGGTGGGGAAACTTTACCCTTTCCTTAGAGATGGGACTTTGTGTAATCAAACAAGTACCTGCCACTCATAATCAAAACTGTTGGCCATCAGGAAAAAGCACACAGTTTAGCGAGACCCAGCACTTCAGGTCCCCTCTTAGTCCTACTCACTTGCTCACCTACTCCTATATTCCAAAATTGCATTAGCCTTTTATAACTCAATTACATACTTCCTTGTCCTTCTTCACTCCCTTTTGCATTGGTATAGTCCAGAACAGAGGGGGTTGATTTCTTTTTTTGAGAGAGGGGGCCTGCAAATCTTTGTCCAAGTTTTCGGGCATTGTTCAGTCATCAGACACTCTCTAGACCTCACCCATGGGGCTGGTATCCAAAAGTGATAGGTTGATCAGATTCTGATGGGATTACAGAATGTTTAATGCTGTCAAAGTGACTGATGCATGTGCCACATGTAGGACTGATGAGATTGTAGACAAGACAGTGCTGAACATCATCTTACCATGAAGGACCTTACCAAAGGTCACAAGTAGATGGCCACCAGTCTGGTAGAGCTTTAGAGTCCCCATTTAAAGTTTTAGTCCAAAAGGGTTTCATCCACTTAAGTTACTGGGTGAATTTTCCCAGGAGTATATTGATGATATTTGCCTTTTTATATGAAACTGAAAAACAAGCATCAATGGACTTGTCTTCTCCAAGCAGCTGCTGTTATCATAGCTGTATGGACATGGGGACAGGTTGGTCACAATAAGCAAGGTTCTCAACCAAAGTAACTACTCTGCCTCCATATTGGGTAGCATGTGACCCAGAAGCCCTTTACTGTTACCAGACTGTATCTGTATGGGCAGTTTTCCTGACAGACTTGTCAGGCAGAGTGAGATTGTTTCACACTTGCCAGTCTGACCTGGGGAGAAAATTCCATCCTGTTCCCACAATCAGCTGGGTTGGTTTGATCCCATTCCTTTACTCTGTTACCAGTTTAATCCCACATCACCTTTTCCATTATTTTACCTACAAGTTATCTTAGGGCAACTGGACCATAGTTACCCATCTGGAAAGGACCTCGTGAGATCATTGGTGTTGGTTCTGGAGTTAGGATGCAGAGACCTTGTTCCAGAGGACCCACCCTCAGATTGACCACAACCTTTCCATTCGATAATAGATACATTTATTCATACACAGTGATAACAGAAAAAAAAAATACAAACATTTAAGCAATTCTATATATCTACCAATTCTAGGGATGAGTCAAAGTACATTTGGCCCAGACACAGTCTCCATTTTGAGGCTCTCTCTCTCACATGTCAGATGTCAGCAGTCTGGAGGTGGGATGCCAAGGCCCACACCACCCCTCCAGTGAGGAGCATGAGAAAGGCTGGTCATATGCCTTTGATCCATGGTAGCTTTGGGAACCCTTCCCAAGGGACGGGGACAGGGACCCCTCTTGGAGAGGAGAAGGGGCAGGGAAGGATGGGGAGGGACTCTGTTATTCTAAAATCTCTGCTTTCATATTCTCTTTCC